CAGAGCAAACTGATTTTATCTGAAAATGTAGAGAAACAAATACTATTGTTGAAAAAAAAAAGAGGAAATATTTTAGTAGCATACTATATAAAATGTGAACAATACGTCTTATTTGGGACAATATGCTGCAGAGAACAAAAGATCATTAGAAACAAACATTCCAGAAGAAAAACTAGAGTGATTTTAGTTGACCAAGAATGGAAACAAATACTTAAAAAAAAAAAATATAAACATGAACAAAGAGGAAATAATTTAGTAGCATTCTAAGTAAAAGTTTAACAATACATTGTTTTTGGGACAATGTCAGCATATGTGTATAGTAATGAACAGTAGCTAAAACAAATTATTCCCTGGGAAACAATAAATGACCAAGTAAAGAAACAAATGCTTTTGCAGAAAAAACAAAAAGGGGAAACTATTTTAGTAACATGCTTTGAAAAAAAAAAAGCAATAGAGTCTGTCATAGCTTGGACAATAGCAGCTGAGGAATTTGTTTAAAAGAATGAAAGGTCACCAGATGTGAAGAATCCCAAAGAAAAAGTGAAGTGGTTTAATTGATCAAGTATTCACGAAATGATCACAGCGTTTCATTATTGGACAGTAGCAACTCAGGGTAATACAGACAACAATGAAAGGTTACTGGACACGAAGAATTTTAAAAATAAAATCATACAGTAATTTATTTAGATCAAGTCTTACAGAAATAATAAAGTGGTTATTTTAATCAAGTCTTATAGGAAAAAAAATTATGTGATTCAACTGATACAATATTGGGACACACAAAAGAATTGAAATTTTGAAGAGATGTTTTAATTTATTATGGAAAGGGTTGATACTGTATCAATGTTGAGAGAATGGTATTTCATAGAAATACTCAGAGAACTATAGTACTGGGTTCTAGATGTAAATAGTCTTAGTAAATGGAAAAAAATAAACAGCAAATATTCTAAGATCAAAACTAATTAGGTATTTTCAACAGTTACGAAAAAAAAAAAAAAGAAAATACATTAAGCGGATGTTTGCTTATTTTTCAAATAAATTCATTTAAAATATATTTATTATATAAAAGTGTGTTTATAATAAATAGAATAAAATAAAAGCATTAGTACATATGTATTGGAGCATTGCACAGTTTACCTTTACTTTCCAGGACAGTTCGACATAAGAGTTAAGGTTAATTTAAAATAGTCTTAGTAGAAGTAGTAGTAGTAAATTTTACCCCACTAGGACATCACACAAGCGATAAACACCCGATGACAAAAAAGTGCCTCCATGTGGACGAGGATCACCCGTGGATAGGTCCCGGACACCGTGTTTAGCCATTTGGCCATATTTATAGCCGGGCTATATTGCGGCCCCTGGTAAGAGCCAGGGTGGGGCTTTAAAATGAAGAAAAAGTGCATCCCACAAGGGGATGACTAGTAAGTAGTGTTGTTAAAAAGTCTGTCCCAGTGTGCCTTGAAACCCACTACCTCCAGGGTGACAAGTAAGTATACTGGCCATTGCATTATGCGCTGCCCTCAGAGAAATGGGAAGGATAGAGGACTTTGGTGGCAGTGAATCCACATCACTCGCCAGAATGGCAGACTTGGGAATTAAGATCGGCACAGCAAAAAACGAGACGCACACCAGACACGCCAGAAGACTTGTTAATCAACATAGAACTGGTACTATTAGCCATCGGACGTTGGGGTTTATACTGAGGGGAGGATCTGAGCACCTATGGACATGTCCGGAGTGCAATGAGGATAACCCAACTAACTAACTGCATTATGCGCTATCATGGATCCCCAAATATAGCAGAAAGGCTCCTTTATTTATTTTCTCATTTTCAATCCATGATCAAGTCACTAACTATGGAAACATGGACACTAATTATGTTACAAGAGCAGCATAAACGTAGAGAACATTAACAACAATTATGAAATTATGACTCCACAGTTAGACATTATTTGACAACAGTTAGTAAATTAAATTCCTACACAATGTTACAAAACTAGCTAATAAATAGAAGTAACAGTTGGTACAATTTATATGACTACAATGTTAAATATCTTTTATGACTTTTTGCAATATAATTAAGAAATATTTTTTTTACATTTTTTTTAAAAAGTGAGTGGACTTCTGTGTAAAATGTTGACTTTAAAAGCTACAGCTCTTCTGGACCAAACTTGATTTAAACAAACAGAAATTACTAGTGTCGTTTTTCACCATTTGAAAACTTGTGAACTATTTTCTTGTCTTCACGTTCTACAGTATATTTAACCTGCATATGTAACATATTTTTTTTCCCAATGTATGAACTAGAAATGTTCGCACATTTGTGTTTGTAGGGCTTGAGCAAAATGCTTTATGTCTGACGTATCATTTAAGTACAAGCCAACTCACTAACTTATACGTCCACACCAGTTAGATTTAAATAGGGTAACAAATATTCAGAAATACATATTTCTTGCACATATATTACTAGTGTACAATAATGCGAAGAAGACAATAATTTGTATCAACTGTAAAGTGATGTGATGTCTTCTAGCTTTTAAATAGTGTATTTTTATAAAGTGCGCAGCTTTAGATGAAGAAAATTTCCAGTGTGCATTCCAAAACTCCATTCTAGGGGAAATAAAGTCAGACCCTCTTCAGAGAAGTAAAGACGGCCAGCATAATGTTGGCTACATCACCCACCAAGTGCCGATTAATCTATAAAATTTAGGTTGAAGACTATATGCCCAATGTGCCTCATAGTATGGAAAAGGGTCCTTTACTTTATACAGCATACACCATTGTTTCAGACAATAGATCTGTTAATATTTTACTCCTGTTTTGTAAATAGCCAAATCTGTATCATGCTCCTTACTTTATTCAAAAGGTGTGTTATTGTTATACTTGGTGTTATGCAGTTTATAATGACTCATTATATAATAACCATATCTACTGTACATGAAATATGAGAATAACACAGCAGTGATGAAACATCAGCCTAACAGCACTTGTAAAACATCTGAATGATTCTCTATGTTATCTTTGTGTGTAGAAATATCAACAATGGCAGCATAAAGCTTAAAGATCTAAAGAACTTTCCCCTGGCTTTCAGACATTTATGAGATCAACATCATGGAAGACTTGAGACCAGACCATGTAATATTCTCCAAGACAAAAATAGATGCACTACAGCCAACCTCCATTGTGGAAACAGTACTTCTCCCCCCCCCCCCCCACACGTTTATCAAGACCATTTGGGAACGAGTGAACAGTCTTCTTCTTCTTTTTTTTAAAAAGTCTATTCTGTTTGGAACTGGAAGTCATGTCTATCCAGAACCTTCTGTTTCATCCACTTTCAATCATCTCTGACACAGATGATCTTCCATGTTTTGTCAAACTGTCCAGCATCCTTCTCTCGGTCTCCATCTGCCTCTCCTGCCCTTCAACTTTCCTGCTGTCACGATGTATTTCAGTTTTCTTTTTCTCATCGCATGACCAAAGAATGTAGATTGTCTATTTCTGATGTGGACAATCATTACTCTTTGTGAGTCAGTTTCTTTCAAGACATCCTTACTACTTCCTTTTTATCTGTCCAGGGTATTCTTACCATTCATCTATAAAACCACATCTCCGCAGCTTTCAAATAATTGTTCCCTTATCTTCCAGAGTGAATAGTACAGAAGTACAAATGGCCCATGAAGGTCTGAAGAGAACGGTGCAGCGAGGAGTGACCAGGGAATATTGCCAACATTCAACACCCAGGTAAAAGGCAATACGATCATATAATTAGACTGCTACTGGTACCATTAAAACCGGAACTCTGCGTTTGCTGCTGAATATGGGGACAGAAAATTGTTGGGAATGTCTCAAGTGTGACGATGTCAGTATTTAACTCAACTCAACATGTATACAATGTAAAGAGATGCTAATAAATGTATGGTAAATTGATGATACTGAAAGAGTTAATTGATAAAGAAAACACAGATAACCACAGAACCAATGTCTGAGTTTTCTGATAAACAAAGCACAGATTCCCATAGCACTAATGAGTTAACTAATAAAGACAGCATTGATCACCACAGAACCAATGTCCAGAGTTCACTTATGAAGACAGGACAGATCACCATAGAGCCAGTGCCTAGAGTTAATTGATATATAAGGAACAGATCCCCATAAAACCAAAGAGTTAACTGATAAAGACAGCACAGATAATCATAGATCCACTGTCCAGAGTTCATTGACAAAAAGGGCACAGATCATTTTGAGCTACGTCCAGAGTTCATTGACAAACAAAGGACAGATCACCACAGAACCAATGTTGTGAATTATTTGATAAAAGATGCACAGAGCACTATAGATCCAATTTCCAGTTTACTAATAAAAGATGCACAGATCACTATAGATCTAATTTCCAGTTTACTAATAAAAGATGCACAGATCACTATAGATCCAATTTCCAGTTTACTAATAAAAGAGGCACAGATCCATAGATCCAATTTCCAGTTTACTAATAAAAGAGGCACAGATCACTATAGATCCAATTTCCAGTTTACTAATAAAAGAGGCACAGATCACCACAGAACCAACGTCCAGAGTTAATTGATAAAGGAGACACAAATAACCATAGAACTAATTTCCAGAGTTCACTGACAAAGAAAAGAAAGACCACCATAAACTAATGTCCAGAATTTATTGATAAAGAATGTTCAGATCACCACAGAACCAACGTCCAAAATTCATTAATAAAGAAAGGAGAGATCACCACAGAACCAGTGTCCAGAATTCATTAATAAAGAAAGTTCAGATCACCACAGAACCAACGTCCAAAATTCATTAATAAAGAAAGGAGAGATCACCACAGAACCAGTGTCCAGATTTCATTAATAAAGAAAGTTCAGATCACCACAAAACCAACGTCCAAAATTCATAAATAAAGAAAGGACAGATCACCTCAGAACCAATGTCCCCAGCAAACATACAGAAGAAACCAATTCCAGAATGTAATACCTAGAGATACTTGTTCACAGGTCGGTGCTGGCAGAACTATTGTTGATCGATTTCTGGGATGACCTCTTTCTGTTGGCTAAGAAAGTTTCTGCAAAAGTCGAATAACTTTTGGCTGCTGCTGCAGGCTGGGAGCTGGAGGAGCAATGTTGTCCAAGCAGAGGCTCTGATGAATTATGGGAACTGTTAGCAAATGCATGAGATGAAGGCTGCAACAATGCAGAACTGGATGATGATGATGATGACGCACCTGATGTTAATTTTGATTCATTTCGACTGGTTAGTGATTGTGTCATATACCCATGGGTGATTTCAGAGGAGTTAGTTTTGCTCGTGGAATGAGCAATATTGTTGGTGATGGTGGAATTATGACCAGACACGGATTTGTTGTGAGTGGATGATGAAGATTTGGTTAAAAGTGAGGAAGTTGATGATGGAGAAGAAGATGTAAATGAATATGAAGCTTTAGTGGAGGAATCGGTAGTCTTGGACCATGCACCCGATGAACCAAGAGAAACTTGCCTTAAAATACCAGACTTTTTAGAAAATACTATAGTAGATGTGGAGATTTTCACATGTTTCTCCTCGCTGCTTCCTTTCCCATGAGCCTCAGGGCCATGAGCCCCACTTCTGTCACTACCGTTCCGACTGCTGCCTTTACCTTTCTGTGGCTCTGAAGAGTCCCTCCCATCCCCACTACAGCCAGGACTCTGACCAGACCCACTAGCAGAATCTGACAGTTCCACTTTACCACCCTGCTTTGGTGAGGACATTTCACCATCCTGTTTAATGGCATCTCGATTCTTGTTCCTGTCAACACCCAGCTTGCCTCCGAAGTTCATCAGTCTGTTCTTCAGGCCTTTCGCTAAGGAGTATTCCTGGTCTTCCATGATGGCTGGAAGCCTCTGCTGAACCTCTTCCACGATATCGATGTCATCTAACAAATAAAAATAAAAAATCTTTGTTTCAACATGCAATAGAGCAGAATCCAATTTAAAGCGGACAGTCAGGTAAGTGATACATAGCTCATTAAGCAGAGAACTCACTGCTTTTTTTTTCTGGTTGGTTAGTTGGTTTAGGATTGGCTGGCATTTAGAGGATTGGCTGGCATTTATTGGCTGGCATTTAGAGGATTGGCTGGCATTTAGAGGATTGGCTGGCATTTATTGGCTGGCATTTAGAGGATTGGCTGGCATTTAGAGGATTGGCTGGCATTTATTGGCTGGCATTTAGAGGATTGGCTGGCATTTAGAGGATTGGCTGGCATTTATTGGCTGGCATTTAGAGGATTGGCTGGCATTTAGAGGATTGGCTGGCATTTATTGGCTGGCATTTAGAGGATTGGCTGGCATTTAGAGGATTGGCTGGCATTTATTGGCTGGCATTTAGAGGATTGGCTGGCATTTAGAGGATTGGCTGGCATTTATTGGCTGGCATTTAGAGGATTGGCTGGCATTTAGAGGATTGGTTGGCATTTTGGTGGACTAGTTTTTTGTTAATCTCGTTAGTTTACTGGTTGGTTGATTTATTGGGTATTTCTTTCATAGATGATCAGTTGACTAGTGTGCTGGTTAGTTGGTGGTTGTCACACAGGTTGGATGGTTTATTGATTGGTTGATATTTTGATTGACTGGTTAACTAGTTATCTGGTTAGTTTACTGGCTGGTTGGTTCAATGGTTGGTTTAGCTTATTGGGTATTTTGTTATAGATGATTGATAACTTGGTATGGTGGTTAGTTGGCTGGCATAATGGCTGGTTGGTTTATTTTTTGGTTGGTATTTTAGTTGACAAGTTTATAAGTTATTTAGTTATTTCACTAGCTGTTTAGTTTGCTTGTTGGCTAATTTATTGGATTAATGGGTATTTTGTTAAAGTTTACTGGTTTGCTGGTTGGTTTACCAATGGCAGGTTTTTTGGGTATTTGTTAGCTTATTGGCTGATTAGTTGGTTGGTTTTAGGTAAACTTGTTTTTAAGCATTTGGTACAACTCACATCATTTGTCACGGTTCCCATGGGCTGTTCCATGTTGTAGGGGTGTTATGAGATGTCTTACCTCGCTGTCTTCATAGAGTGTGCCAAAAAGTGACCCAGGTTTGTTTGACCAGGTAATTACACTGTCTTCCAAATGAAACTGTGCAGCTTTCCTTTCACAACTCTCTTTTGTGTGAACAAATATTGTTTCTGGAATGAGAAGAAGTACTGAAAAGGGAAGCGGCGAAGGCGTGACAATTTGTGAGTACTGAATCATTATGTTTTTGTATTTTTACGCTCACTGCCAGTGGCTGTCATCGGTGGTGGATGTGCTTAAAACCTTCAAAACAAGCAACATTTAACACCCCTAGAACATAGGGCAGCTGTGGGAGCTGCTACGAAATCATGCAGCCGAACGAGATGGGGTGACAAGCTTAAGTTTTACCAAGTGTTTTGTTATAGTTGATTGGTTGGTTGGCATGCTGTTTAGTTTGTTGGCTAACTGGTTAGTTGGTTTATTTGGTATTTTGTTACAGCTGATTGGTTGGTTAAGCTTATTGGGTTGATGGTTTACGGGGTATTTTGCTAGTTTACCGGTTATCAAATAGTGCCAATTTGGAGGCTTAAAAATATCTGTATGCACACACAAAAGTACCAACTTTGTGCTGTCATTGCCAGACACGGACAGTCCTAGAAAAACATAAATGCAAAGAAACATTATGTGAGATGAGATGAATCTGAAATGAGGTGGGGAAAACAAGAAAAAAAGTCATAAATGAAGAACTAGGAATAAGGGTAGACACAGTACCTGTAAATGATTTCAAAGAACATCGAAGAATCAAATGATTTAGTCATCTGGTCAGAACAGAACAAAATCAGCCAAATGCTAGAGTATACTACATGAAAACAGCAGGCTACAAGGCAAGAGGCATGCAAAAAAACAGGCAGGCGGAAGAAGTAAAGGAGACACTTCAAGAATGTAATAAGACATTAAAACAAGGTACACAACTAGCAAAAGACAGGAAACTACGTATAATTCCTCTCTACCACTCTGCACGGCATAATCAAAAGGACCACAAAAAAAGAAGACATGGTGGCTGATTTGTTGGTTTGTTTATTTGTTTATTGGTATGTTGGTTTGGATGGTAGGCCAATTGTTTTCGTTGGCTTGGTAACTGTGTGGTTAGCTACCTGGTTGGTTAGTGATTGCTTGGGTGGGACCCCCCTGGAACACTTTAACTTTAACTCTAGATCCAGAATGCACTTCATTCCTTAAAAAAAAAGCCAGAGTGATATTGGTGTCAAAACTTCCCTCCCAGTCAGGGTCTGGAGTAGGACATATGTGTCAAAACTTCCCTCCCAGTCAGGGTCTGAAGTAGGATATATGTGTCAAAACTTCCCTCCCAGTCAGGGTCTGAAGTATATCTCCACAGAAACCATGTTACATACGTAAAATTTCCAAAGAGTTCTAGAACAATTTGATATTATCATACATAAAGAAGTGAGCCAACTAATCAAATACACGGAAGGCAGAATAGTAAAAAAGTAAAAGTCCCTTTGCATGCCAGTGGCGCATCAGGCCCATGAGGCTAGACTTTATTTTTATAGATTTAATCAGTCTTTGATGGGTGATGTGGTCACCAACACACCAGCCATCTTTGCTTCCCTGAACTTTAGCGGCTACCACTTTAAGACTGGGTAGACCTTGCAGCCAAGGTCTCTTTAAAAACATTTGGCTTCTTGTGGATTTGAAACTGACCTTTAGATCTGCAGGCAAGCATCTAGCTGCCGCTACACCACAGTTGGTCTCATGAAGGCAGAATAATGAAAAAATAAATGCTCACCTGGCAATTTCTTTGCTTTAAATGAAGCATTAGTGACCAGGTTTTTCAACACTTGGGCTGTCTTTTGGGCTCCAAGATTTGCATGTGTAATATCAAACTGTAGAGTACCATAGCAATAAGAGTTGAGTATTGCTCCAGTGACCTGAAAATGATGTGGGGTTGGGGGGGGGGGAGGGGGGAGTGGGGTGTGAGTAAAATTATAAAATAGCAGCATAATGGGTTTTATCCATTAGATGATGTGATAGCATAATGGGTTTTATCCAACAGATGATGTGATAGCATAATGGGTTTTATCCAACAGATGATGTGATAGCATAATGGGTTTTATCCAACAGATGATGTGATAGCATAATGGGTTTTATCCAACTGATGATGTGATAGCATAATGGGTTTTATCCAACTGATGATGTGATAGCATAATGGGTTTTATCCAACAGATGATGTGATAGCATAATGGGTTTTATCCAACTGGTGATGTGATAGCATAATGGGTTTTATCCAACTGATGGTGTGATAGCATGATGGGTTTTATCCAACAGATGATGTGATAGCATAATGGGTTTTATCCAACTGGTGATGTGATAGCATAATGGGTTTTATCCAACTGATGATGTGATAGCATAATGGGTTTTATCCAACTGATGATGTGATAGCATAATGGGTTTTATCCAACAGATGATGTGATAGCATAATGGGTTTTATCCAACTGATGATGTGATAGCATAATGGGTTTTATCCAACTGATGATGTGATAGCATAATGGGTTTTATCCAACAGATGATGTGATAGCATAATGGGTTTTATCCAACTGATGATGTGATAGCATAATGGGTTTTATCCAACTGATGATGTGATAGCATAATGGGTTTTATCCAACAGATGATGTGATAGCATAATGGGTTTTATCCAACTGATGATGTGATAGCATAATGGGTTTTATCCAACAGATGATGTGATAGCATAATGGGTTTTATCCAACAGATGATGTGATAGCATAATGGGTTTTATTTAAAAGATGATGTAATAGCATAATGGGTTTTATTTAAAAGATGATGTCATAGCATAATGGGTTTTATTTAAAAGATGATGTGATAGCATAATGGGTTTTATCCAACAGATGATGTGATAGCATAATGGGTTTTATCCAACAAATGATGTAATAGCATAATGGGTTTTATCCAACAAATGATGTAATAGCATAATGGGTTTTATCCAACTGATGATGTGATAGCATAATGGGTTTTATTTAAAAGATGATGTAATAGCATAATGGGTTTTATTTAAAAGATGATGTCATAGCATAATGGGTTTTATTTAAAAGATGATGTGATAGCATAATGGGTTTTATCCAACAAATGATGTAATAGCATAATGGGTTTTATCCAACAAATGATGTAATAGCATAATGGGTTTTATCCAACAGATGATGTGATAGCATAATGGGTTTTATCCAACAAATGATGTAATAGCATAATGGGTTTTATCCAACAAATGATGTAATAGCATAATGGGTTTTATCCAACAAATGATGTAATAGCATAATGGGTTTTATCCAACAAATGATGTAATAGCATAATGGGTTTTATCCAACAAATGATGTAATAGCATAATGGGTTTTATCCAACAAATGATGTAATAGCATAATGGGTTTTATCCAACAAATGATGTAATAGCATAATGGGTTTTATCCAACAAATGATGTAATAGCATAATGGGTTTTATCCAACAAATGATGTAATAGCATAATGGGTTTTATTTAAAAGATGATGTAATAGCATAAAGGATTTTATCCAGTAGATCGCCCGGCTCTCTAGCACAGTTGGCTAAACCTGACTTCGTTGTGACCGGGTGACAAATTCCTTGTGGTCCGTGTTCACTCCCAGGGGTAGGCAGAAAAGTCACATTGCTCCCAGATTTACAGAGCTTATCATGAAATCAAGGCCAAAGGGTTGCGATATCTATAGTACCGAGCCAAAGGGTTAACAACTCATGGTTTCTGGATATTATACAAATTATTTTACATTCATGCACAGTCTGTGTGTTCAAGGACAAGCATAGACATGTTAGTTTTTTTACAATTTCCTATACATACATGCACAGTCTGTGTGTTCAAGGACAAGCATAGACATGTTAGTTTTTTACAATTTCCTATACATACATACACAGACTGTGTGTTCAAGGACAAGCATAGACATGTTAGTTTTTTACAATTTCCTATACATACATACACAGACTGTGTGTTCAAGGACAGGCACAGGCATGTTGTTAGTTTAATACATTTCCTTTAATACATATACAATCTTTGTTTTCTTCTTCCTCTTTTTTGTTCCGACTATAAGCTTCAGCGAAAAGTACTGGCTGTTTGTCCATTTGGACTTTGGCATTGTGCCAGGGTCTGAGTTTTGCATGCACACCCGTTTTACTGGCATTTTGTGTGTTTGCAGCTGATTGTTCTTTACCGCTCAGGCAGATGCACTCTGACTTCAAAGGAAGCTCCTAATTAGTCAACTCTTATGAAATTTTTTTTGTTTTGTTTTTGTTTTCCCTTGGAACCCACAGGGGGACTTTGTATTCAAGGATCAGCACAAACATACCACAGTGAACCCTCACCAGAAGAATGTCTGAGTAAAGTTCAAAACTAGAACGGTTGTGTACAGCCTGAACCGCCTCCATAGCAATCTTGTGATGGCCGTTAAACCTGGAGAGGTATCATCGCAGCAAATAATAAATAACAGAAAAAATATTTTAGTAACGATAAAGACTAATAGTAACAATAAAAATAAAAATATTGGAACTTAGTCAAACCACAGCATCTTTTAAATGATGACACCTTAAAAAATGTCATGAAGTCATGACAGGCTTCATAGTTTTCTTTCAGATAAAAAATACTTTCTGTAGTCCATGTGACTGACTGACTTTCTACTCTACCAGGACATCACACCAGTGATAAACACCCGATGACACAAAGTGCCACCACGAGGATGAGGATCGCCGTGGAGAGGTCTCAGAAACCGCGTTCAGACAATTGGCCATATATATGGCCTGCCTATATTGCGGCCCCTGGCAAAAGCCAGGGTGGGGCTTCAAATAACAAAAAAATTACTTTCTAAAAAGGACGTGAGGATAATGGTCCATGTGGCGTGGCATTTTAAGTCCTGTCTATCTGCAACCTTGTGTTTTGTGTACTTTCAATTCTGACACAGACGATCTTCCATGCCATGATATCAATCTGTCCAGCGTCTTCTCTCCCAGTCCTATTCTGCCTCGTTTCCCTGTCAACACTCCCACCATCACAATGTACTCCAATATTATGTATTAGTGGCACCGTCAATTAAAAAAATACGGTCTTGGTCGACAACTGTAGAGCAGCAGCTGTTTCCTCCAATGGGTTGTTATCTGAAGTTTTATCAGCCCCATGACTTCAAGAGTCGTATACTAGATGGCAAACCAACAAGGCAAATTTCAGCTACCATGTTAAAATTTATAGAAAGTTGTAATTGGAGCCAGGACTTTTTTCTTTAGAGAAAGTGCTGGTGCTCACCATAAAGTGTCTCACAACAAAGGTACCAGTGCTCGTCACAAAGTGTCTATTACAGTTTTTCTGAACAAAACTATGCCTAGAAAAGGGTGTCTGTACTCATCATAAAGTGTCTTACAACAAAGGTACCAGTGCTCGTCACAAAGTGTCTACTACAGTATTTCAGAATAAACTTATGCCTAAAAAGGTATCAGTACTGTGTACTGTTGCATACTGCCATGGGGAAAAAAACACCTTATTAGGGCACTGTAAAAGACTTCACCAAGTACTGCCTTAGCATATCTTGCAATCCTGGGCTTATTACATGTGACAGGTAAGCTTCACAGAGAAATTTATTAGTGATCAGAATGGGGACTGTCTGTTGTCCTACAACATGATTGCCTACAGCACTACTGATTGTCATATGTTGCCAATGTTGTTTCATGATTGTACGTGTCACTCAACTCTGAGATAGATGAAGGTCGCATTCTCATGGGAGCAAGAAAAAGCTCTTCAAGGACACACTAGAGGCAACATTGAGAGCCTTCAGTGTAAACCCTGACACCTGGGGTGCTGCAGCACAAGACCGGACTTTATGGTGCACATTCATCCGAAATGGTGCAACGATTTGCTAGGCATCTAAAACAAGGGCAGCTGAACAGCGAAGACAGGCCAGAAAGAACCGGCAAGCAGGCTCTTTGTCTACAGACACTATGCCCTGTCCTCATTGTCCTAGACTCTTCCGGGCACGTATTGGTCTTATAAGTCACCTCCGAACTCACAAACAATCAACTGCAGTTTCATGGGGGATGAAAGAAAGAGTGGAACAGTCACTCAACCCATATTAGCACACAGCAAGAAATTGTTCTTCCTTTGACATGTAAAAATAAATATGTCTTCACAATCCCCCTACTTCGCCCGCCTCCTCCAAGCCAGATTATACAATCTGGTCTGCTAGCAGGGAGCAACATCATAATTTTAAATGAAGCCACTTACAGTGCGAAGTATACAGCAAATAGGAATTCCAGCAGAAGAGGCGGGTTTACATTAATTCTGGGCTGATGATGACTCCCGCAGTCCTGGGATATGTTAAAGCCCGTTGAACTGAGCCTGTGGAGAAAAGATTTGGTGTTACCTCTTTATATCTTAGAGCAGAACTTTCTCAATTTTTCATGTTAGCCACACACTTTTGAGGACAAAAATAATTTCACGACACAGTAATTCAGTCTACTAGTTTGCAAAACAGAAACAGAACAAACCTCTTATAACAGGTACAGATACACACATAAATTGTTTAAAACAACACACCTTCATACTACAGCCGACACGTTAATGTGATGTGACACAGTTTGGAAAGTTCTGTCTTAGAGAGTTGAGTTTAGAATTGACATAACAGCACTCGGAGCATTCCCATGCGTGCTTCGTCCTCATCTTCAGCAGCCAGCACAAAGTTCCAAAACTGATGGTACAGATCACAATCTGGTTATATGTCCGTCTTGTCTTTTTTCTGAGTGTAGAGAGCCGGCCAGACCCCCTGGTTACACCCAGATGCCTCATTCTCTCCAGGTCATAATAATCTTCTTTCTCTACTGATTCCGTTGCTTGTTCCCTTAAGGGCCTTGACCACATTTGCCTTGTCATGTATCAATTCACCACCCAGCTTTGCAGATCCAGCCATTCTGTCTGCCTGTTCATTACCCACTATGCTGGCATGGCCTGGAGAAAAGATTCAAAGTATGCTCACTACCCTTGACCTTCCCAGTTAAGCTTGCCACTTGGTAATAAACATACGACACAGACCAAGTCTGACTTTTTTTCTGAAAGAATAATGAAACCATTATAAAACGCTTGCTGATGCTTTCATTTTTTGATATTCTGATCATATTTGATTTCATATGATACTGTTTTCTCCAATATAAGCAGCTCAAAGAAGTATAGTATCAGTACAACAGCCCTTATTCCATATGCTGAACTCTGACCAATTCACTACAGTCACTTGGATGGCCAACTTAACAAAGTTTCTACTGTACATCTATTCTTCTTCTTTCTTCTTTTGTCAAAATCTGCTTTTGCCGCTAGGCGTCGCAGTCTATCAGATGATCGGCAACCGAGCCAGGGCGCGCTCAGTCGCTTCATATGCCGTGATGTTATGAAGTCTCAAGTTGTCCGTGACTCCTTCAATCCATCTTCTTCTTGGTCTTCCCCTGCCTCTTGGTGTTTCAATTTTCATGTTGTATGCTCTTGATGCTGGCATTGTTGGTTCCATTCTCATTAGGTGACCAAACCATTTCATTCTTTGCTTCTCAATAAATTTAACGATGGGTATGGTTCCAATATTTCTTGTAATCACATCGTTTCTCACTCGATCGTACATCTCTATTAGTCCCTTAATTACAACAAATTATTTAAAGAAAAACAATTTTTTTCGGTCCCTTGAATTCATGTTAACGAGGCTTTACTGTTGTATTATCAAGTTTTCTCATTGTCTGTCCTATCCAAGATTGTTTTGTTTTTTCTCATCGCCTTCTGCTTCACTGAATTAGTTTATAGTTGAAAGGATTGTGTGGTTACTATATAGCATTTAACATGATGAGGTAGCTGATCCCAAGCCCAATTCTGTCCTTAGCTGCATCTTACGACATGCCTGATAGGGTGAAGTGTAACTATTATTTATAGTCACAGTAAGGCACAATTGAGAAGTTTGCAGACTCACTTGCTTGTCACCTGGCACAGAACTTGCAGAGAGTAAGTATGGAAGCTGTCAATGTTGACATTGTAGTGCTGCATAATGTAGGCCAGAATGATGAATCTGAAAAATAATTCGACAGTTTTAAATTGTTTAAGTGCAAGGCACATATCAGTTTCATTCTTTTGACCCCACTGAATGAAAAGTAGCACAACTTCTCTTCTTCTTCAACCTTGTGTTTCCCAGAAGTGGCCTCTGACAGAAAGTTCTCGTTGAATGTCTACTTCAAAACTTCGATCTTGCACTTGGACTCGCGTTTTGCATGCCTCGCCACTCAGAAAGGTGCACTTTGAAGGAAACACCCTCAACTAATTAAGTTGCCTTTTACAATATGCTTGTCAGGACGCAGTGGGTCTATTCTCTTTTCTCACAAAATAAGCTTCAGAATAAGCAAGAACCAAGTGATGGCTGTGAATCTGTAACCATGACTGCGAGAAAAATTAAAAAGGGTGTGACCAGACAAGAGTACTACACAGGAAGCCAAAGAAAAAAAAGAACAAACGATGACAGAGGGTATCTTGGCTGGCACACACTGTTAGATTTACCGAAGAGGGGATTCAGGCACTTATGGACCGAAAAGTTGCATGTGCAACGATAGCCAGTTCATCTTGATGTTCAGATCATGTAGGATGTCAGCATTTTGTTTCTCTTCTTAGTCCATGTTATTCTAAGAGTAGCATTTCAGTTAAAAAACTCTTAGTGTTTTTTGTTTTCTTTTTTCTTTAAAGATAAGTAAGATCTCCTAACTCACATTCCAAAGTGCCATAGGAAAGATGCATGATCTCAAAATTGTTACTTCAGTTCGGCAATTTCCCGTTACTATCATTAAATGACCTATGCCCTTCCCATCTCATTAATTCCAGCTCCACTAGGACACGAAACAATTCACTTTCTATCCGCAGGCGAGCGTCTAGCCACTACACCAAGCCAGTCCTCTCCCTTCTATAATGCAAAAGTTGCTATAATCAGGTCCTTTCCCCCCTAGACCTAGAAAAATAGGTGCTGATACTCAGTGTCTAAAATAAAAACTGCCAGTACTCACCACAAAGTTACTTTTACCGTAGCGCTGAACAAAATGATAATTTTAAAAGGTACCAGTAATGCCTTAAAAGTTAGTTGAGTTACAGGACGTTATAGAACCAACCTCAGCATTTTTTTTTCTGTCGTGGTTTTTCTAAGCATATTGTATGTTCAGTAGTTTGCCTCTGCGTACCATTGATAGGGTAAATCTGACTAGCATCCACGTGATACTAAAGAATTGTCAGCTGCGTTGGACTGGTCACCTAGCCCTCATGCCAAACTATCGCCTGCCAAAGACAATATTTTATGGCGAGCTTCAGCGAGGGAAGAGATCACAGGGAGGACAGAAAAAGCGCTATAAGGACACTCTCAAAACTGCTCTCAATTCTTCTAGCATCAACACAGCGACGTTCTGGATGGCGTAAATCCCTCAGTTATGGTGCATCAGCCTGCCAGGCAGCAGAGGTTGCACAGGCGGAGAAACAGAGCCAGACTAGAAAGAACCTTATCGCTTATCCCACACTTACTGTGGCTTCCACCTCTTGTCCGTAATGCTCAAGGACTTTCCGGGCTCGTATTAGATTCATCAGCCACCTTGGTACTCATAATCATTGATTATTGCTACTTTGGATGAAAGTGGTCTTCATTAATCGTGATGGACGAACAACATTGCGTAGCATCAGAAAAAAGTCCTCACTATAATAATAACAATAATAATAATAATAATAATAATAATAATAATAATAATAATAATAATAATAATAATAATCAAGTAAAAAGTATCAAACAATGTGTGATTCACATACATTCTCACACACAGGCTAACCCATATATTCCAACATTTATCAGCGGACCTCCATATTGTGCCCTCTCACCTGTTGCGAGCGCTGAATCTTTCGTACTGCGGGAATGGCCCATACCTCAACATAGCTTGATAAGGACTCAGCGAATGAAGGGCCCTCTCTGTCAGCGGTTCGGTTACCCAGGCACCGCGGGACTGGTCAAAGACAGAAAATGATTGAGATATTACTGGCTGACATCACTGATGAATGAAAGCCTAACTGTTGACTAAACTGGTCAAGAACATTGAATGATTTAAGCACTAAACCACAGGCAGCAGAAGAAGCTGGGTACTTGGGCACTTTCAGCCCTTCTAAAACAAGTTTTTTCTAATGGTGGTGGGGGGGGGGGGGGCGAGGGGGTAATTATCGGCATTGCCAATTTACAAAGACGACCAGGGATCAGTACCGCCCTCCTTCCAAATATTTTTTAACCGTGCCCATCATCTTACGCTGTAGGGCCGTGAAGCAAGGCTAATAACAGTCTAGTCTCCATTCCGTTCTCTCCTGTTCACCTTTAGGTTAGTTGCGTATCCTTTACATGACGTTGCAGAACCAACCCCAAACAGCCCCTGGCTGTTGTGTGGTTTTTCTAGGCAAATTTACGTCCAGTACTTTGCCATTGCCCACTGAACTGTCGGCTCCCTTAATACCACTGTCGAAACCAACGCAAGGCGCATGGCCCTCAGCTTGGATCGAACCCGGCATCCCGCCATTACGAAGCCTGTGCACCTTTAGTCTCTCTCAATAACGGTTGTGGACCAACATTTCGAGTTTGCGAACAAAACCGATGAATGAACGAAGACGTAGATGACGAGAAAACCTCTACAAAAGATGTCGATTAATGTATGTAACTAAATAGTTCATAAAAAGGTTAATTTATAATGGCGAAAATCTTCCCAACATTAATTAGCCTAATTTTTAAAATTCTCTGTCATATTGTTCATTGTGTCGCAGAGACTAGGATAACAAAAAAAAATGTCCCACAAAGGAAAACAAAATCACCACAAAAGACAACAGACAACCATTGCTAAACAGACCTTCACATACTGTTGCACAGAATAATGGTTGTCTAAATGAACAATTGAAGTAATACCTAGATATTATTGTAAGTAGAGCAAAGGTTTCGCACTGGAATTATTACTGAATTTAAGCACTATATAAGAATTGTAGTACCTTCGAAAGATGCATTTGTCATCCTAATTGTTTGTTTGGTTTTTACCAATTACTTATATATATATATATATATATATATATATATATATATATATACACACACACACATATATTGCTTGGTGTGTTTTTTTTTCTCCGATGCTTTCAGATATTTTTATTCTTAAAGAAATTTAATATTATTTCATGACTATGATTTATAGTTTTTATAAAGCAGCATCTGTGGTGATGTCTTCATTAGAGATTAACAATTATCGTTATCTTCTTTATCATCACCATCATCATTATCATCATCGCCATTTTATTGAGCCAGATGTTCATCATACAGAGCTGGCAGTCTATCCCCCTCATTCAGTCTTGAAGATGTTTCTTGGACGTCCTTATTCCAATCGTTTCCCAATTCAGTGTCTGTTTAATGATTCTCTACTTTTCCTCGAAAGTTCCCAGAATGGCGCGATTTTCTTTGTCTTATATCTGTTGATACTGTCGGTTTTCCATAAACTTTTCTTATTTCTTTGCCTTTCTTGAATTCATTCCATTTAACGTTTACATAACTTATTACGGTATTAATAAACATTCACCTCTACGGCAGGAACACATAAAGACTCAAAGATTTTGCTTTCCAGATAAATGCTCTGAATTTCAAGGGCACATAAAATGAATAATCCAGATATGAATGAATGAAGGAATGAAGAAAGCGGGAAGTTAACCATTAGGATTGAATTAATTAGTATACAAAACTATACAGGACACATGAAATTAGGAAAATTATACATTTAAGGTCTCGCTAATGAACGCAAGAGGGGTCTCTTGGTATAACATGAATTCCAAAGCTCTTACCTCGTGGTATACTGATGTTTTGTTGATGGTCGGGAGACAGACACTTTCAACAACCGGCGATCCGTCCAGCTTGACAATTTCCTGAAAATATCAGAAATGAAGAGAATATACTAAACGGCTGGCTGAAACAGCGCAAGAAAGCAGCTGGCTGAAACAGCGCAAGAAAACAGCTGGCTAAAACAGCTGGCTAAAACAGAGGCTAAAACAGCGCAAGAAAACAGCTGGCTAAAACAGCGCCAGAAAACAGCTGGCTAAAACAGCGCACGAAAACAGTTGGCTAAAACAGCGCACGAAAACAGCTGGCTAAAACAGCGCAAGAAAACAGCTGGCTAAAACAGCGCAAGAAAACAGCTGGCTAAAACAGCGCAAGAAAACAGCTGGCTAAAACAGCGCACGAAAACAGCTGGCTAAAACAGCGCCAGAAAACAGCTGGCTAAAACAGCGCCAGAAAACAGCTAAACACACATACAGTCGTCCCCGTGTGGCTTCCTTGGCCCCATTGTGTGGAGAACAAGAATAGACCCACTGCTTGTCCAAAAGCATGTCGTGAGAGTCGACTAAGTGGGAGCTTCCTTCGAAGTCGCAGTACATCTGCCTGAGATACTAAGAACCAATAGTCTGCATGCAGATTAATCTGACCTGTGAAACGGATGTGCACTCGACACTCAGTTTCTGGGACAGGATTAGAGTCTAGAAGTGGACAAGCAACCAGAACTTTCCGCCGGAGTTTAAAGTTGGTGAACGCGAAGAAGAAGAAGACGCTATAAAGTCGAGGCTGGAATGTGCGATGTAAATAAAAGCAGTGACTATAGAGAAGTGTGAAAGTGAATCGAGGACAATCGAACTAATAATGGAAAATTACTTATGAATGGGGCGTAGGGGTTTTATAGAAGAATGACGAAGAGGCGACGGGATTTGCGGGCTCAAGTCCCTTAACTCCTCCCCCCCCCCCCCCCCCCACCAACCCAAGGAAATTCTTAAACTGGACTGAGACCAATCCATCCCCCTTTAACCATTTATAGAAATTATCTTTAAAGTGTTTGTTTATACATTTCATTTTATTGTA